ACCCGTCTGTCCCGATACCGCCGTCCCGGGGTACTGCCCGCACCGCCCGCAGGTGTGCAAAGCTCCCCCGAGCCCAGTGCCCCTCTCAGGGCAGAGCATCGCCCGGCTCCCCGTTCCCCGTGGCCGCACCCTGCGCAAAGAGCGGGACCCGTTCTGCTCTGCCGGCTCCTCCAACCTCTGCCGGGTGAGACCTGGCACTCCCCCGCCCCTTTCTTTGCACCTCGTGCTCTGTAAGGGCAAAACCTGTTTTTAAAATGCAGCTRAAATTTTTCTTCTTTATTTCTCGATCATAGGCTATTCTGAGGGTGAAAGGGATCCTCAAATTTGACTCAACTGACCATGCCATTTGGGGAYTGAATTCACAACCTTGGCTTTATTAGCACTGCACTACAATCACCTGAGCCGGTCTCAGGGTCATAGGGATGACCTTTCCTAGCTCGTGAATGGATGCTGCCAGCAAGGTAATTCCTATGTAAATACAGCTCCTTCTTTTATGCTAATACTGCTTTACACACCAGCCCTGGGAACGGCTCTAGGGCAGAACTGGCTGGCATCTGCCCTGACTGCACACAACTCTTCCAATAACCTTGGTTTGCTACCCTTGCCAGGATCTACCCAACAGCTATGAACAAGGAGCAACGTCCTTTCCAGGGAGAAATGAGCAAAACAAGTGCTGAGGCTACAATTGGTCCGTGGCAAAAGTTCTGGAGAGCGTCAGGGCTGGTCCCGCCTGCAGAGGGGCGTTTCCTGCAGGTGAGTGTTTACAGCCCAAAATCGCAGCAGCTGCTGGGGCCGGGGCCGCTTTTSTGGCTCAGAATTGGACGGAGCCCTCGGTGACTCCGGCTCCCCGCCAGGAATGGTCCGTGGTGTTTTCTCTGTGTGTCCCAGGTGGCCGGGAATGCAGGGTGGGAGGAGGTCGGGAGCCACAGAAGGGGGACCAGCACCTCTTGTCCTTCCTATTTCCAGGGGAGAGCTGTGCCTGCCATGTCCTGCTCGTGGCATCCAGCATGCAAAACGCACATCCCAGGGATGGGCACAGGGATGCCCGGACAGCGCTCGGATGGACATGGATTAAGGTCTGCTCATGGCTCCGCAGCCATGGGCTGCTCTGAACAGGAACCTGGAGATGCTTCACCCCAGAGAGAGCCCAACAACACTCCAAAAATATCCCAGGCAACAGCTGGCACCCGGCAATGCCGGCACGTTGTGTTTGTGGAGGGGCTGAGACAGCGATTCCTGGTGCCAACCTCCTGGAGCACCCACACCTCCACCAGGTATGTCCCACCCACCCCCAATCCCTTTCCTTCCAGCCTGAGAACATCACCCAACAGCATTGTCAAAGGCAAGGCAATCTTTCCTCACAGAAATTAAATCATAAGCTGCAGTCCTCAGACATACCTTCAAATGAAAGGTTAGAGTTGGGTGACGTTTTGTTTGGGTAAAGTTTGGAATTTTTTGGGGAGCCAGCTGGAACTACAGAACCAATACAAAGCATTCACAGGTGGATGAGGCTGGAGGTGCACTGAAGGCAGGGGTGCCCATCCCTTTCCTCAGGGAAGAGAATTTCCAGAGGCCATTCCTAAGGCTCTGCACTGAAATCAGCTTCTGCGGGGAGGGATGTCCTCACCTGGGCACAGGGGCTGCCTCGGCACAGGCTGGGAGCGCGCGTGGCCACCGCCTTCTCCTGATTTAAAATATCAACTGCAGCCTGAGCTCAGGGTGGGTGAAATCAGCTGAATTCCAGGGAACTCTGTCCTATGCCCCCCAGGGATGTCAGCAGGGCTGAGGGGATGAGGGTTAGAAATAGAAAATTCTGTGGAATAGAAACCTGTCCTTGCCCCAGTGCTGCTGAGCTTCCTTGGAACCTCTGTCAGTTCCTAACGCAGCTGGCATTAAAGCGGCAGCTTTGCGTGGATATATCCACTCTCTGTGAGGCACTGTGAGGTTATTCCAGCAGGAATTCTGCAGGGAATTCGGGCCATGGGTATAATTCATCTAAACTAGCAAAGCTGATCCTGAAACCCAAACCTGGGCACCACACAGAGAACAATCTTTGTGCTCCGGACCTGAAAATTTTAGCAGCCAAATGTATGGAATTATAGAAACCACAGCAACTGGCACCACCCAGAGGGACAATSCAAGTCCCAAACAATTCCTCCACAGTCCACTCTGGGGGAAGCCCTGCATCTGCCAGGAGCTCTGACTCTGCTTTTCCTACAGCTCCTGAGCAGKGTCAGGGCCACCRTGAGGGCTTTAAAACCCAAATAAACCCCAAATCCCACACAGTGAATAATCCAAATAAAGAAATGCGTTCTTGGCATAGAAAGCTCAAAACTCTGTTAAAACTTCTATGACAACAAGGTAATGAGATTCCCAGGAACCTCATTAATGCTCTTGGATTTTTATGTATCTTTTTATGTATCTTTTTATGTATCTTTTTATGTATCTTAATAGCTGTGAGTTCATACTTTTCTCACTGGGAAATTAGAAATAATTTTAGAAAACGTAGAAATTTTAGAATAATTAGAAAAACCCACCTAAAAATCTCATCTCTGTCTCTGCTAAGTTATCCCAT